CCCCCCCACACCGCCGGGCATTCATGACAAAAAATAGCATGTGCCACTCGGCCCGTAGTGGCGGTTTGCGATTCGTGTGAGTTAGCAACACTCGTCCCTACCTTACCGACGCCTCGTGCTGCTAACTTCACACTCATCGCAAACGTCCACTTACGGGCCTTGTGACACAAATAACTATTTCTGACGAATGTGAAAATGTCATGAGTTAACAAATATCTCCCTTATCGCCGCCTGATATAGAATATTTTATGTCCCAGGGACCGAAAAACGCGTTTTAATCGAACGAGTGAGATCCGAATTTGTGGTTTGTCGATCCTTGGGACATTGACATTTAAGGACTTTTTTCACCATCCCTTCGAATCTGTTCAGTCTCAAAAATTGATCATCTTCACGAAGAAAAACCTTCACGAAAAGTTACGTCACAACTCAGATAATCGCGTGGGGGAATGTTAGTTCGAAAAATTGTTCAGAACTTCTGGAAAAACTGTGAGGTAAAAAATAATTAGTCCTTTAAATTTCAATCGACACAATAATATTGGTGAATTGTGGCAGAACGAGTACGCTGATTCAAGTATATTTTATACTCAATTAGGGTATTTCAATTAGAAGATGATGCTTTTGTATCAGGCCGGGTTGTAGCACACGGAGAGAAATGTTCAATAAATATTACGGAACTCACAATGCGCTCGACGATTACGGAAGAGACTTAGAAAATTTAAGTGACAGTATCGTAATTTTCACAGGAGATTAAGTTAAAAATTACGGAACGGTCTGGAAAAATTCCGTAACAGGTCCATAAAATTTCATACACCACATTTCGCTGCGGAATTACCGAAAAGATACGTAATTTTTATTGAATATTTCTCTCCGTGCAAGCCCACTTAAGTGTAATATAAGGGTCAGACACTAAGTGTCAGAATATAAGGGTCAAAACATTACTATCGAGTTAAAAACTATCGACCCCTGGCGCGCAGGATTTTTCGGGTTTGCAACATTCCTAAACATTAATATCAATTTTTTTCCTTAGAAATATATTGTAGACATACCAAATAACTATAATAAATATGAAGTTGAATGTGTTGGGTTATTGTTCAACCTCTGAAGTTGAGGCTCAGAGGTCTATACTTTTCAATCCGATGGTAGGGTCAGAATATAAAAGTAAAAGTGGGTATCAGGCAATAAGGGTCTAGATATAAGTCATATAGTATGTTCGATCACCGCTTTTAGTCCTTATGTGCCCTCATTGCCTGACACCCACTTTTTTACTTTTATATTCTGACCCTAATTTCTTGATCCTAATATTTTGGCCCCCTTTTCCGAACCCTAACATTCCGACCCTCATGCCTTCACCTTTACATTCCGGCCCTCAGTTTTTGACTCTAATATTCCGATTCTTATTTTTGAACCTCCACTTTTTGACCCTTATATTCTCACACTTAGTGTCTGACCCGTATATTACACTTGAGAGCACTTGGTACAACCCGGGCTGATACGAAATAATCTTCCTCGAATTGAAACACCGATCCCCCATTCGAGTATAAAATATACTTGAATCAAGTATATTTTTTTCCGTATTCTCTCTAATTATTGATTCCCGTTAATGAAAAGGAACAAAATGAGGGATTGATAAGAAAATCAGGTTGATCTTGATGCAAAATAATGGTGTCGATATATCAGTGATTTCTATCAAAAGGATACGATCGGCAGAGCTTTCTTCTTGTAATCAACGACACAGTAGTTGAACAGTGGATCAACAACATCGAGCATATGATGGGGTACCATTTCCTTTTCCTCTTTGGTTACTTTCGCCGTAATGATGTCCAATCCTTTGTACACCTGGGACCAAAAAAAAATGCGTTTAAATTCCATTTATTAATGATTTAGTTGTTCTGACGATGCCACTGGGAATGGCTTCTAATGATGTAATCATAATAATTAAATCAGTATCAACTGTCACAGCGGCAAGTTGCGTGACGTGTGAGATCAATGAGTGTGGACGTCCCGCTGAGATCGTCAGATTGAGAAAATTAGTCGGAAATAATCAGTGACTGCTTCGCTCGATGACTGATGGAGCGTATAATTACAGAAAAGGAGAGCCCCGAATTTTTCGTCATTCAATATGCAAATTAATCATGAGGATAAATTACGTATTATTTCTGGGGCCCCTCCTTAAAATCTGGGATTACAGAGAGTATCCCCTGAACGTCTAGGTGGACGAGAACCTTTACTAAAATAACCGGAAGATATTTTCTAGCCATTCTTTATTCGCATTCCATCATTGTCCTTCATTATATGACGTCAGAGGCTCAATAATTAGGTTATCCACGCTGAGTAGTGGATTAAACCTAAATTGGTCACCAGATGAGGGGAACGCCGCAGCACGTCGTTTTTCTTTAATTGCCATCGGCTGGCTAAACGGAAAATTAAGAAAAAGTGACTTCTTCAATTGAAGTGTTTAAACAATTATAGCAGTTTTTAGAAAAACGTAATTCCTGAACTTCATTAGAAAAAAAATTATTCTCAACAGATGAGTTATTTCTTCCCATGTTAAGGGGAGACACGACGATGAGATGTCTCATGCATTGAAAATCGATTATTAATGTCTACAAACCAATAATTAGTACAAACAAATTAATTGTTTATTGTTCGTTTGCCCCGCAAATGCTTAAAATATTAAAAATAGTCCAGGGCCTCCAATTTTTGAGCTAGAGAATTTTTTTCTGGAAATAGTTGCAAAAAATGTGTACAATAACAATTACGAATTAGTTTTTTGAAATTCGATTCCTACACAGCTAATTTCGTGTTATTTAGTAGAACAATTTGCACTATTCATGTAACATTGGCAGAAAAATTGTTCTTAAAACATTTAAAATATATTCTCGATTCTTTCAGAAACATTTTCCGGGCTATTTTACATAAATGGTGCAATTTTTTATTAACCGGTATGGTGAGCCAACTAGGGTTAAAGTAGTATAAACATAACTTGAATTTTGAAGATAAAAATCTGAAATAGCTTCTAAACGGAAATTAATAGCAATAGAAACATTCTAGTTGAGTTTGTGCTCAATCGGCAGTCTAACATTATTGATAATAATTAGTTTAGAAGAGCAAAAATAACATAGAGTTTTGTGAGGAAATGAGGTTTTCGAGATTAGGGTGAAGATTGAATTCATTCCGTTCATTCTACTTTTCCAGTGCTAATTTATATCGTGGGGTTCACGTGATTTCAGTACTTTTGCCTACCAATCCTGCAATTCGCAAATCACTCAAGAGAACAGGTTTGTCAAAGGTGGAAACCGCACACCACAGTTTGATCCCTCCCTGGTATACCTTCCCACCTTGTCCCTTTGTTTTCTTTTTTTTCCACCTCATCGATTTACCTTGGTCACTGCATGGTAACACTGGCTATGATCAAATGACTTCCATTTCGTCTCACTTCATTTATCACGCGGTCAACATCATCATCGATCCCCAGCAATTTGTTCCAATCTGCTCGGCCTGGCGCCATCACCACTACTATTAACCGGAAGTATCGAAGCATATGAAAATTGAATTATATTTTTAAGAATAATCTCACCCGCCCGCGGGGATTTTAGCTTATGAGCGTCTGTCATGTGGATTAACACGAATCCTTTACAAGCGGACATTTGAATGTAGTGAGAGGCATTGTTACGATGAATGAAAAAACAACGTGGTAGAGAGAGATTATTCTACCCACCGGAAAGAAAACGGGCCTCGAAAATACACTATCCTCTTATTTGGCAAGGCTCGTTGTATGTGCCTAATGTGCGAAAGCGACGAGAGAACATCCACCAGAATATATAAAATTATTCCTAATGATTCGTTTGAAAATTCCACGAGCATATTAGCAAGCAACTCTAATTCACCTAAGAGCCGGAAGTACGTTCTGCCACGCGGTCTAACGAGAAGGACCTTAAATAGACTCGACCCCATAGGCCACGCGCTATTAGTTAGGCGGTTTGAATAAAGATGTGCCAAGAAAGAAAAAATATCAAATATTGGAGAGGATCTTGTGGGCGCCCTGGAGAAACATTTTATAAATAGAGGTGTAATAAAAGAATCAAGAGGAAAAACCAGAAGACAGGAACAAACTTGAAGAATTCCATCGAAAGTAACAGACGTTGCGTCGATATATATTCTTTTTATCAGCATCATTCAGCAGATGTATTAATCAGATGATACATAAATTGCGATGCCACACATGGATTAAGAAGTTTAAGCTGCGAAATCCGGAATGAAATACTCCACCACTTCCTGCAAGTGATACAAAACCGCGTGTAGCATATCCCTTCTGGTATCTTCTTCGGAGTCATAAATTGCTCGAGGAGAAATGACACGATGATTGAAAAATTTCACACAAGACTTCCTCATACTTTGAACTGTATTTTAAAAAGTCTCCAAAATTCTGGTACAATGTAAACTATCTAGAGAAGCTATTGTCAGTTGTAATACCCCGAGACCTTCATAATTATCGGATATTTCTTGAAAGTTTCGTTGTGAACAAATGCGTAATAGTAATAGGTACTATGGAGCGGTACTATGGTGCGGAATCTCAAGACTTTGATCATATTTAATGGCATTGCCCGAATTATGATATCCAAAGAAATTGTTACATTATCGCCTAAGCAACTCTTTTCACAACTAAGAAATTTGTGGATGCAACTGACCACATTAACATAGAAGAAATATGCAAGTACCTAAAATAATGTAGAATAAAAGTATAACCCATCCCATTGTCAACAATAAACAAACTATGTAAATCTTTTAACATAAACAACGTAGGCTTACTCAACTCGATCGACACTGTAAATAAATCTCATGTACAGATTTCGGCACTTTAAATAAATAATATCAAGATCCACTTAATTAGAAAATATGTCTGATGGATTCCCGGAAAACTGAAGCATACACTAATGTTATTAGAAAACGCGCCAAAGCATTAGCCTCTACCTCGTTTCCTCCTCAGTGTACTCTTGAAATGAGGCCCTCGAGTGTTACAGACCAGTGCTAAGTAAATTAGCTCCTTCAGTTGCTCCTCGTAACTGAGAGTTTCCCTTCTCAATTCCTATCCTCCCTCCTTGGTTGTCTCCATTGCTCTTCACCTTTTTTCCTCCGTTCTCTTTAAACTCTCGAATGTTACCCAAGCAACATAATTACATCTAACGTCGAAAATAGCTCATCCCTCGTGCTCGACCAACGATGAAAATGACGCGGAAGAAATATATGAGATTGCCATTTTAACGTGTTAAGTCAACGATGTACTTATATGATTTTATAGGACACACCATGTATTTTACTTTGATGAGAAGAAATCCCTTCCTAACTCGGGAACTATCCAGTCTTGCGCACTGGTAATTAACAGATATTGCGCATTAATATTCGGAATGAGTCATTAAAACCATACAACTGGGTGTATTTAAGTATCTCAATTGCCATTCTGGGTTTATTTAGAGTTCTATGTCATCTCCCTTGCGACAGTCATTTTATGAACCATAAAGCGTACCTTCATCCGCTCAAAACATGCCAGTTCCATGGAACAAGATGCAGCGGAAACTCCGGTTTCTACCCTTGTGATGAGGCAAAAATTGCGCACAAACACAGGAAAAAAAAATGTTCAGAAAAAAAAAATTACGTAAGAAATTATGGTGAAACGCGTAATTGTGATGCAAACTGTTGGAAAAAAATTGAAATTTCATGGACAATCGACTAGGATTTTTCAAGACACTGAATGGGATTTCAGGGAAACCAGCAATTTAAGTGAAAAAATGAAAAAACTTGAATAGAACTACATTGCTCGGGTTGCGTGGTCTTTTTTCGATTTAATTGAATACTCATCATCATGACGAGTATTAAAACAAAATTAAATCGATCGAATGGTTCAGAAGATAACTGCAAAAAACGATTTTTACCCGCGACGTCAAACAAAAGGGAGGGTCATATGCTTTTGACACTCAGTAACCTAACTCGACAACGTGGTTGTCCAGACGAAACTACACGAAAAACGAGTCGAAAAAATGAGTTTCTGTATTAGAAATGATAAAAACACTTCGCGGAATCGAACTATGAACCCTTTTTTTTATTAATTATTGACGAATCGCTATATCTCGGGAGCCACGCAACCGATCGAGCTGAAATTTAGTACAAATTTGACTATCAGTACAGTAGAGGTTTCGTATAAGATACCTTAGGGCCAGTAGGAGAGTGGAATTCCGGGAACCCCTATGCCCGCACTACGCGCGTCCATAGAGAGCAGTGATGCTGTCGAGACCACACGATAAATTTTTTGGATAGATCATCGCTGTCTGAAAAAACATCAAAAGTTTTGGAATCTTTGCAATCTCGCAAGACATTGGATCGGTGCATTTCGTCACGATTTTGGAAGGACTTATCTTGCCTGAGTCTCGACTTTTTCGCTTTTTTTCTGTCTTTATATCACCGGAATATCGTTATGATGTCTTTCGAGATTGCGACAATTCCAAAACTTTCGATTTTTTTTCTGACCGTGATGATCTAGCCAAAAATTTTATCGTGTAATCTCGACGGCATCACTAATAGAGAAGAGAAAAATAAGGATCAGTGGGTTTCAAATAAGATACCTCGCTCGATGTTCCCGAATTCAATGCAATTTTCATTTTTACTGAATGAATATCGATAACTACTCAATTTATATGTGTTTAATGTTTTGAATTTGTATCATCCCCGTTCCCTTTTCTCTCGAAACATAACACCGCGTGATGGAATGGCAAATGGTGTTGGGGGATTGTTGGTGGACTCGAGAATAATTACAGACGAAAAATTACGATTTTTCGATGGGA